TATTGCCTTTTTTTAGTATACTGTTTTTGTTGTTTTATTTTAGTGAATATTAAAAAGCATTTTTCAGGGCTTTCATAAGATAAATCCATCCTCAGCCTTATTTTTCTCATAAGTCTAAACTCTTTGCTGCAAACTTTTCTACCTCTCGAGTTTTCAAGTAGCAAAACTTTTTGACTGGGGTGTAAGGGTGTATTTTTTTTAGGCAACATTTAAAAAAATTGTAGCGTAACATATGTTCAGAAAAGTGCACAGCTCAGTGTATTTTTACGAAGTGAACATACCTGTGTTTACAAAGGGTCCACCCCCAGAACAAGAAATAGAACATTACCAGCATTCCAAAGACTTCTTCCTACCCATTGCTCCCCAGCTCCCAAGGTAACCCCCTTTATGACTTTTGTCACCATAGGTCAGGCTTACCTGGTTTTGAACATTATATAAATGGAATTATAAAGTACGTACTTGCTCAATATTGTGTTTTTGAGATTTAGCACTGTTGTTGCTTATAGTTTATTACTTCTTATCGCTGGATACTATTCCATTGTATGTGAAAGGTCATTTTTCATAGGTGTAAATATTTCTTTTAAATCCCTTTGCTGACTGTATTTTTAAATGTGAGGTTATATCTCCGAAATTGAGTATCAGTGGTAAAAATATCTCAGATGATTCATACAGAAGTGTTCTGTAGTGTACTTATTGTAAAACGAAAGGTGCGACACACTTAAATGAAGGCATAGAAGAAATTACTGCAACGAAAGAACTATTTCCTATGCCTTTTTGTTGCCCTTAGACATTAACCATTTACAGTTTTGTTCTCCAGAATGCTGCAGAAAATATAGCCTACACTTTTTTTAAGAATAACTCTTACATATATAATATAGGGTCATTTGGAAAAACAAGAATACATTAAATTCTAAGTACAGTATTTTGCTTTAGGGAAAATAACATCACTTCTGTTAATTTAAATTTTTACCTTTTGTTCGTTAGTCATTATGTTGCTGAAGTGATTTTCTGTTTAAAGAGTGATAATTTTCCAAGGCTTAAGTGTTAAAAATTGAACCTAAAAGTTTCATAAGACTTTTATAAATTGACATGACAATATGGGGATCTCATTTTACATAACAATATTATAAAACTGAAAAATTAATAGTGCTAGAATAACTTATTTTGTTAAAAATATTTTATTGTGTTTTTGGTGAAAGTTTACACAGGAAATTAGGTTCTCATTTAACAATTTCTATACATATTGTTCAGTGACACTGGATATATTTTCCACAATATATCAGCTTTCTTATTCCATTCTGGGTGTTCTGTTTCTCTTAATCTAGCTTCCCTGTCCCCCCTTACCTTCTCATCTTTGGTCTAGGGAAAATGTTTACTATTTGGTTTCATTTAGATGATTATTTAGAGGAGCACAGTAATCATGGTTGATACTGTTTATTTTATAAGCTAGTCTGTCATTTGGCTAAAAGATGACCTCTGGGAGTGGTTTGAGTTCCAAGTTTAAAGGGTATCTCAGGGCAGTAATCTTAGGGGTTCATCTAGTCTCTACTGGTCCAGTAAGTCTGGCCTTTTTTTTCGCAATTTGAGTTTTGTTCTACATTTTTCTCCAACTCTATCTGGGGCCATCTATTGAGTCCCTGGTCAGAATGGTCAGCAGTGGTAGCTGGGCACCATCTAGTTCTTCTGGTCTCAAAGTATAGGTGAGGCTGTTGTTTATGTAGATGATTAGGTCTGTAGACTAGTTTCTTTTTTGTGTCTCTGGTTTCCTTCTTTCTTTTTTGCTCCAGATGAGTAGAGAACAATTAGTTGTATCTTAGATGGCTG